GACAGAAAAGGAGAGGCAGCCGACTACGGAAACCTAGGTGCTGTGTTTCATTCGCTCGGGAAAAAGGACAAAGCTAAAGAGTATCTCCAAAAAGCGCTCATTATCAGAACTAAACTTGGCGATAAGGAAGGGGAAGCAGTAGATTTTGCAAACCTTGAAGCTGTGTCTGGAAATCTCAGAGATTACGAAGTTTCTGAAGTATGCTTGGAGAAAGCATTATATATATCCAGAGATATTGGAAATAGAAGACAGGAGTTCCAGATTTTTAAACAGTACGCTACTTTGTATGTATCTCAAAAAAAAAATCAAAGACTCCCTTTCGTGTCTTTATTTATGCATTGAAAAGTATGAGGAGCTGAGAAATTTCTTGGGGGTCAATGATCAGTTCAAAACTTCATTTTAGGAAGACTCAGGAATACATCCCCACAAACTGCTAAGTAAATTGCTTTGTGTCACCGGAAATGATCGTGATGCTCTTTATGTTGAGGAGTTGGGTCGAGCTAAAGGCCTTTGAGACTTGATGGCAGAAAAGTTAATAATCTTGGTTTGGCATTGAAAACATTTTGAGAAAGGAAAATAACTGTACTTGTCTTTACATTTCTTATTATGAAAATGAAGTGCATTGTGAATCTTGAAAACAAATGGAGCCATTCACTTTAAACGAATATCACTCGAAGAGAGTCTCGTTCAGGCTGGGTTGCCCAAAGATTTGCCTTTGTGTACATTTTTGGCTGATGAACTTCCGGAGTCTTGGTGTTTTGCCCATTGAAGTTTGTGAAGATCGGTCTTTAAATATGGTTGAACTGCAACCTCTTATCCCCGAACAAAAGAAGAACTTAGCAAGGGTTCGACTCGTGGAGAAGGACGAGGAAGTCATTTCAAGTCTATCGTTGTGTTACAAAATCTTTATTGCCCCAGTTTATGATTTGCTCGAGGAGCCTGAAGTCATTATTGTTCCGCAGAGTACTTTGTACAAAGTTCCTTTTGCTGCTCTGTGTGAAAAGGAGGGAGCCAAATACCTCTCTGGGTCTCGTACGATCCGTGTCATTCCTTCATTGACGACACTCAAGATCATTCAAGTCAGTCCAGAGGACTATCACAGCAACACTGGTTCCTTGATAATAGGCAGTCCAAAGGTCGATTGGTTGCCGCCATTCCCAGAAAGGAGGCGGAGATGGTCGGGCGACTGGTGGGCGTTCCACCCCTAGTGGAAGAGAAAGCAACGAAGCAGGCAGTACTTAAACGTATAAGTTCAGTGAGCCTTATACATGTTGCTGCCCATGGTAACGCCGAAAGAGGAGAAATTGTTCTCTCTCCTATTCCTACTCCCAACAGTACAAACATTATCCCACCAAAGGAAACTTACATGTTGACGATGGCTGATGTCTCACGAGTGAAAGTCAGAGCTAAACTGGTGGTACTTAGCTGCTGTCACAGTGGAAGTGGACAAGTAAGAGCCGAAGGAATTATAGGCATTGCACGTGCGTTCTTAGGATCTGGTGCTCGCTCGATGTTAGTTGCACTTTGGGCCATTCCAGACTCAGCAACAGAGCAGCTGATGAGTCGGTTCTACGAACACCTTGTTGGTGGAAAGAGCGCCAGTGAATCTCTTCATCAGGCCATGAAGTGGATGAGAAATAACGACTTTACCAAAGTGTCTGAGTGGGCTTCGTTCACGCTGATTGGAGATGACGTGAGGCTTGAGTTTGGCAATCAGAGGTAAGAAGTTCGGCCAAAAAAGGTATTTCCGAATCACAAACTAAAGTAAAATAACAAATATATCCTAATGGCTTACTGGACACTGCGGACTGTCAGAGGTGGCCCACTGTGACCTTGGCAAGTTTTATATTTATTTTTTTTTTCATTATATTTTTTACATAGATTGAGGGTCTCTGGAAGGTGTAATGAATTGAATCTCGAAAATCCCTCTATTCTTATCAAAAACAAGCGTTAACCATACAAATGACCACATATTGTGCCTAATATAACTATGCGTTTGCTGTGATTGTCGATGATCTGTTTAGATCTATTCAGATCATCCGACAATCACATCAAACGCATTTAAAATCAATCCAGTCCTGACACCGATGACACGGCAGATAGTACCAATAGAAAAGACAACTTTTTACTATCCTTACCGCTCCGCAAGTCGAGCAGTTTTAGCTTAGCGAAATCTTCTTGCAAGCATAGGTATGTATGCAAATTTAGTTATTTATAATTTGTTCGTTTTTTTTACGTTTGTTACAGGAAAAAAGACTCCGACAGTTGAAAAAAACAAGAATGACTTGAAGGAAACAAAGCTAATTAAAGACTTTTAGATTAATAAATAAAGTAGAATAAGTAGAGAAAAGAGTATCCGTTATTTTATTTTTTCATTAAAGAAAGGGCAATCTGAAATTAAGGAGATCAATTTCAGTTTTTTGCGTTTTCTCTTTCAATATCCTCTAGAAATTATAATTTTTCAGCACAAAAATTATCTTATTTGATATAATAAGTTCGAAACATTTTCTATATATGGCTCTAAAATGAAATCAGTTTACTCAGAGCAGTATTTAGGCGTGAAACGAAGCACTTAAGTCTTGTAAGGTTTTTTCTAAAAGCCTTTGGTTAACAGGACCCTAAAAATGTGATGGATGATTTTTAGAGAGCCTCTTTTTTACGCAGGTCTTTTCTTTTGGTCATGCAGTCACAGTGCTGTTTCTGATCGCTTGAAAGACCAATAAAAGAAAACAAAATGTATGGATCTTAAAATAGGACCGCAGCAAAACTTTTGAGGTCAATTATTTTATTATAATTATGAAGTAGAAAAATTACAGCAGCAATATTTCGAGACTGGTTCAATAAGTCGCTTATGGATTGTAATTTTTGAGATGATGTATGTCTACGTGCTAGTATTACTCATTGCTTTGAATTGTTTTTAAGTCAGGGTATCATCAAAATGTTTTTTCGGGAATCAAGTTTCTTCATTTTACCACAAATTTTCTGTTAATTTTTTTTTTGAAATAGACTTCTCCTTTTGGGGAAACTTACTTAAAGGATTCTGTAGTAATTTTGAGGACGCCAAAATAAAAGCTAGCTTGAGTTAAATTGTAGTTCGTTTTAATCATGTTTGCATGCTAATTATAATCATTGCCTTTATGTGTTTCGAACTGTTATTCCTAATTTTATTGGTCAACAAGTGGTTTCACATTGAGTGACCGTTCAATACACGTGAATGACAATACGTCGGGACTCACTGAAAGTCGACTACAACCCCTTAAAAGAGATGACCGCTTAATAGAGGTGAAAATTAAAGCGATTAGGGGGAAACAAAATTTGGGGCTTTGACAACCTAGCTCTTAATACAGGGTGATCGCTTGATACAGGTTTGACTGTATGAGGTCAGCTTGATACAGACAATTCGCTGAATCAAACTTTAACCGCATCCACTAATACATTCTGCACCCCCACCCCAACCCCTCTCCTTCATATTCAAATAAATGCAAAGAAAACACAGGGAAAAAAGCTTACTTATTCACCACTTTCAAAAGTGGCTGCCAGATTAATATTCTTTTGTTTAAATTTAAATTAGCCTTTCTGGCCTCGCTTGAGAAATGTATTCTTTTGAATTTTGTACTAGAGAACGAGGCCAGAAGGGTATGATGTGACTTCACACAATGCAACTCTAAACCAACACTGATTGACAACCTAACTGTAGTTACATCTCTCCAAAGATTTATTAACTGTTGTCAACTGCTTTTAGGTGAAACATTCATGGCACATGTGGTTGAAAACCATAGAGCCTCTAATATTACCAAAAATAAAATCAAAACAAGAAAAATAAATCTAAAATTTGTAATTATCCCTATCTATTCTTTGTTTTTAACATATTAAGATGGTAAGTTTAACAAACACTGTAATTTAAAGACAACCATACTCAAAATAATCTCTTTTTATCATTAGCTGCAAAATGTGACAGGCAATTTAAGTAAAAATACATTCAATTTTTTTCTACCTCTGGGAATCATCCACTGTTTTAACCTTTCAACTACCAAGATAGTAATTCTCCTCACTGTAGTTGATATTTTTCTATATTCTCACCACCTATCTCATTTATTATCTATTGGTATTCTTGGGAGAAATGACTTCTTGGTCACTGCTGGAAGAGAAAGGGTCCATATTCACAGCAAATTAGAGGCAAAGTCTTCTTATACATAAGTTATGTTTAAAATTGATAAAAAAATGTTTCAATGAATGAAAACTATTTTTTTATTACTGAAGAATAAGTCACATTTGTTCCTATCTCTTAAACTTGCAAGACCTATACCTTTTATATTAATTGTTATAAATGAATTAAATTATTTTTTTGACTACGCATTTAAGTCAAGCAAAATTAAAGTTGAAGAAATCTGAGTGTGACTTGTTATAAGAGCATGGCACATTTCACAACTAATTACCAGACACAAACAGAGTCAAAGGGCACACTGCATAGAGTAATTCATGGTGTGACAGCTTTGAGTGAAGTACAAAGACATTTTTTTTGTCATTCTGTAAAGAATTTGTCCACTATCTCTGAGTTTTTGCAATCTTCACAACCAAGTCTTTTATCCTGAAACAACAAAAGTTAAGGTATATTAAAATGCATGCGACTTATAATAACAAATCACCAATATCAATAACAAGTTTACATACCGTGCCATAATCCACGATTGTTGGAATTTCTTTCAGTTTGAATTCAGGATTTGTTCTGAATTCGTTATCAGGCGATTTCCACCTGTTCAAACAAACATAAATTCTGTAATTATTACCTGGGTTCAATTGTTCATAAATTAAACTTTATCCAATGGATAAATTGCTATCCTGCAGTAAACTGTTTTTTAACTTAACAAAATGTATTATGCTATCCCAGGCTTGACACTGATGGTAGCCAACTAGCCACAGACTAGTAGAAATTAAGCTTTAGCCAGTGGTTTTTTTATTTCCACCGGCCAGTTGGCTGGTAAACAAACCAAAATTGTTGTAACATCTAAGTTGTCACTAGCCACTTAGTTAGTAAGTTGAATAGTTAGTGTCAAGCCCTGTATCTAACAGATAGACATTCATTCAGCTGATAGCATTACCCACCCTATGAACAACCATGACCTGGTTTCTAAGCAACTATACCACTGCATAAAAGCCAACTATAAGATAGCTAGTCATCATCATGACATACATCTGTAAATATTCAACCCTTTTGTCACAAGATCTCATAAGTGATTCCCCTTACCGTCTGCAGTACGATTCCTATGATGTTAGCACAGAGAATTTGGTGTTGGATCAACTAATATTATCCCCTAATTTTTGTTTTTTTTTTCTTATCATTTGCCTTTGTAACATCGTAATGTTACTGTAAGGTGAAGTTCTGTCTTAAGTAGTTACTTATAGGAGTTTAAGGTTAATGCCTGTTAATATACAAAGTTCTATTTTCTGTTAAATTGGAATAATATAGGCCATGCACTCCAAGAATGTTCTCCCAAATTAAGCTTTCCATTTCAAACTTTTCACGTCATGTGAAATAACAAACACTGCTAAATTACAAATGCACAACGAATAAGAATCATTTTTAGTGATATCTGATTTCCGTGATAGTGGCGCACTTACTCTGGCTTGTCACCAACAATAGACAGGATGAAGACAATGTCGGATGGGGCCTTTTTCAAAGCAGCTTCTACAACTGGCTCAGCTAAAAATCAACATGAAACGTTTAATCAAAAAGGTTTACTTGGAATATCTTCAGAACTTAAAATTGAAGGCTTAAAATCTAAAGCATGTTACAGTATTTAAGATATATGAATATTCACTCATTGTAGAGAATGATGGGTGTTTGTAAATACGACACTCGATTAATTCTGGAATATTGCAGCACAAGGAAATCTTAATGTCTTCCGATGATCGTCATGGACCGCAGTGATTACAATCTTGTTCAAAATAAATATTCTGTGCGCGATCAAAATCAACTGACTAACCTTCTCAAAGCAGCTCAGCACAAAACAACAATCGATACTTGGGTGTAGTCCAGACAGGAAAAAAAAATCCGACGATATGTGGTTGACAACAATGTAAAATACTCGATATACTGCGATATTTTTCAGAAATTAACAATATGGGGTTGACAAAATCAGTTTCTTGTCAAGAGACTTGGAATTATAATAAAAATCAAACTTGCTGACCACATAGTTTCCTGGATAAAAGATATCGAAAATTAAACGAGATACAAACCGTCGCGACAATCAGGGCACCAGCTCTCGCCATTCTCATTCATTGCGCCGATAAACATAATTATTCTCCTCTTTCCTTCATGTTCTTTTAGTGTCTGCATTAAATTACCAAGCCCTTCGACTTGAAGCTGAAGTTGATTTGGTTCAGACATGTTTTTCTAACTGGTCGTGGAACTTCTTTACTGGCATGAGAACAGCCTCGTTGTCAACCTACATGCAAGCCTCGATTTGATTATCAGGAAGCGAGCTCTGGAACCCAACTCGCACCTGCCAGAAGTGGACGCCTGGAAGAAATCTGTTCATCGATTTTCAGTAGAAAATGTCCGATTTTATGACTACCGTTTTGGGGGAGGAAAACTCACAAAAAGATAGGGTGGCAGCAACAGAGTTCAAGGTAAGCTGGTTGTCTTTGTTTGAGAACAATGCCCTTCAATGAATTTGCAGGCAGCTTATAGAAAATCAGGGAAAACGAGCATGAATGGATGATGTAATGTTGATCATTCCGTTAGGCATGACTAACCGGGTGTCCAAAACTC